AAAGTGCTGAATTTATAAAGCTTGCTTGAGAGTTAACAAAAACGGGAGGAGAGCTAAAATTACACTCTGTTTAGCTCAGTGTGGAAAGCTCTGAGAGCTGATTGGAGGGAAGGAACACACCCATCCACATAGCTCACAGTAACAGAGCTGAGGCTGTCAATCTGCTGGAGGCCCCTTCCCTGTCACCATTTTTTTCTTGGTGTCAGGAAAACGTGTCAAAAGTGATTTATACTGATAGTGGAGGGAAGAGTCAGTGGACAGAAATGACACTAAGTCTGGCAATACAGTATACAATTTTCTGTCCTATTTCCTTTAGATTTACCTTCTATGTAATGCAAGGGCCTGCCTAATTGGATCAATTGAAAGTGTTGTTTAGGTTTGACCTCATGTTTTATGTTTTTTTTTGTAAATCTAAAGCAAAATTCTCAAGAAAATTGTATAATTCAGCCTTATGCAGGCCATACATGGGTCGAATTTTGAACAAATTTTCTTTAGAAAACCTGAAATTTTGTGCGTTTTGTAATCTGATGGTGCCACCATTGATTTTGAAATTCAGCCAACCAAGCCTTCAATTTCACCTCGTGTTACTACAGAAAAGAGTTTTCATGGCTGGGAATTTTCTTTTCTTTCCAGGTCACAGCTCAGGCTTATTTCTTTTTTGTTTATATTTCCTGCACGATTCTCCCATCATCGATTCAAAATTTGTTCGTTTTTTTTCCAAAACATTTCCAACATGCCCGACCACTCAAATTCGATGGCCACCCGAAAATCGGCCATTTCTGTGACCCACTAATGGTGTGAAATTTGAACGAAAATTCTTAAAAAATATTTTTGAAAAGAAATTCTTTTGGAATTCGGCCCGTGTATGTCCGGCTTTAGTGCTCCTGAGACAAGTGCACACTATAGAGGGATATATGTTCATATTTAATTTCGGAGGTTTACTACCACTTTAGAGTGGACCAGGGGCAGACTGACCATTTGGAAACTCGGGTACTGCCCGAGGGCCTGGGGTCAGTAGGGGGCCCCATGAGATGCCCCTGGTACCTTTTTCATAGGCTTTTTTGAGTTTGGGCAAGGACACAGGGGCCCCATGATCCCCTATTGCCCGGGGGCCCCATGACTTGTCAGTCCGCCCCTGGAGTGGACCTTCTATCCCTGTCTGTGAAGGGGGAATAGTGTAGGTTATGTTGTGTAGTGATGGTGAAATACATTGTCACAATGCATTTATTTTTTTTTTTAATGATGGAAGCATCACAAAATAAGCCTTTCTTCACCTGTGCACAGGGCTGCTGTTAGAAACCACGGGGCCCCATACAGCCAACCTGACAAGGTCCCCCCCCCAAAAAAAAACCACAGTTTTACTATGCTTCAGTCATGAATGAACGAACGCAGTGAGTGATTGGTACTGATCACTTATTGTGTTCATTAAGAAAAGAAAGGGGCTGGTAAATGTGACATATTTACTGGACTCTTCCCCCACACTCTCCATCATGAAGGATCCTATTGTGTGCTTACATCTTCTGGTGGGAAGGAGAGAAGGGAGACCGGCAGCACTGCAGAGGTGGAGGCATATAGGGGGGCTGGGAAACAGGGGGAAACATATGGTGCACAGGGAGGGTGATGGGTGTGCTGGGGGGCATTGACAATTACTGGAACCAACCCCCTTTATGGTTCTCTCTGCAGCAGCTGAAAGTCAGCGGGAGGGAGAGGAGAAGAAGCCAGCTTTCAGCTGCTGCAAAGAGAACCAAGGAAGGGATCAGTTCCAGTAATTGTGCCCCGCCATGCTGATCATCCACCCTGCCCACATCCGATTCACCCAGCTGTCTAGGCCCCCCTTCTGGCCTGGGCCCTGTACAGGAGGACTTGTGGTACCCCCTTATTCACGGCCCTGCCTGTGTGCCCCACAGTGCGTTGTGTTGACATGCAGTGAGATGCATTGTGTAATAATACTCAGAGACTGTATTTACAGTTCAGTCCATATATATTTGGACACAGGCACAAGTTTAAATTTTTTCAGGTATTTACCAAAACATATTCAAGCTATAGTTATATAATGGATATGGGCTGAAAGTGCACACTCTCAGGTTTAATTTGAGGGTATGTACATCCATATTGGAGGAAGGGTTTAGGAATTACAGCTCTTAAGAGTAGCCATCTCCCTTTTTCAAGGGACCAAAAGTAATTGGACAATTGAATAAAAAGCTGTTTCATGGCCAGGTGTGGGCTACTCCTTCATTATTTCTTCATCAATTAAGCAGGTAAAAGGTCTGGAGTTGATTCTACGTGTGGTATTTGCATTTTGAATCTATTGCTGTGACCCTACATCATGCATTCAAAGGAGCTGTCCATGCAAGTGAAACAGGACATTGTGAGGCTTCAAAAATAAAACAAATCCATCAGAGAGATAGCAGCAACATTAGGAGTGGCCAAATCAACAGTTTGGTACATTCTGAGGAAAGAAGAACACACTTGTGAGCTCAGCAACATGAAAAGTCATGGACATCCACAGAAGACAACAGTGATGGATGATCGCAGGATCCTCTCTATGGTAAAGAAAAACCCATTCACAATATCCAGACAAGTGAAGGACACTCTCCAGGAGGTGGGCATATCATTATCAAAGTCTACAATCAAGAGAAGACTTCACGAGAGCAAACAAAGAGGGTTCACCACAAGGTGCAAACCATTCATGAGCCTGAAGCATAGAAAAGCCAGATTACACTTTGCCAAAAAAAATCTAAAAAAGCCAGACCAGTTCTGGAAAAGCATTCTTTGGATGGATGAAACTAAGATTAATCTGTACCAAAATGATGGGAAGAAAAAAGTGTGGAGAAGGCTTGGACCAGTTCATGATCCAAAGTACGCAACGTCATCTGTAAAAACATGGTGCAGGCAGTGTGATGGCATGGGCATGCATGGCTTCCAGTGGCACTGGGTCATTGGTGTTTATTGACGATGTGACAAAAGACAGAAGCAGCCGGATGAATTCTGCAGTGTTTACAGATATACTGTCAGCCCAGATTCAACCAAATGCAGCAAAGTTGATTGGACAGCGCTTCACAGTACAGATAGACAATGATCCAAAACACACTGTAAAAGCAACCCAGGAGCTTTTGAAGGAAAAGAAGTGGACTATTCTGCAATGGCCGAGTAAATCACCTGATCTCAACCCAATTGAACATGCATTTCACTTACTGAAGGCAAAACTAAAGGCAGAAAGACCCACAAACAAAGAACAACTTAAGACAGTAACAGTTAGAGCCTGGCAAAGCATCAGGAAGGAGGAAACCCAGTCTTTGGTAATGTCCATGGGTTCCAGACTTCAGGCAAAGCATCAGGAAGGAGGAAACCCAGTCTTTGGCCATGTCCATGGGTTCCAGACTTCAGGCAAAGCATCAGGAAGGAGGAAACCCAGTCTTTGGTGATGTCCATGGGTACCAGACTTCAGGCAGTCATTGCCAGTAAAGGATTCTCAACAAAATATTACAAATGAACATTTTATTTATGATTATATTCATTTGTCCAATTACGTTTTGTCCCTTGAAAAAGGGGGGGGGGGGGGGGGCTACTCTTATGAGCTGTAATTCCTAAACCCTTCCTCCAATTTGGATGTACATACCCTCAAATTAAACCTGAGAGTGTGCACTTTCAGCCCATATCCATTACATAATTATAGCTTGAATATGTTTTGGTAAATACCTGAAAAATGTTAAACTTGTGCCTGTGTCCAAATATATATGGACTGAACTGTAAATACAGTCTCTGAGTATTATTACACAATGCATCTCACTGCATGTCAACACAACGCACTGTGGGGCACACAGGCAAGGCCGTGAATAAGGGGGTACCACAAGTCCTGTACAGGGCCCAGGCCAGAATGGGGGCCTAGACAGCTGGGTGAATCAGATTTGGGCAGGGTGGATGATGATCAGCATGGCGAGGGACAATTACTGGAACTGATCCCTTCCTTGGTTCTCTGCAGCAGCATCTGAAAGCTGGCTTCTTCTCCTCTCCCTCCCGCTGACTTTCTGTGTCCAAATATATATGGACCTAACTGTATATCCAACACAACTTCACAGCCAAAAAGGTTAAACTTGTTCTTTTAGTTTTGGACAGAGTGGAGAGGGATTAGACCCCCTGTCAGGTTTTATTGCTCTCTGTGTCCCCGTTTGGGAGATTCCCCCTCCTCTCTATTTGTCCTGTTTACCGTTATCATTGACAGTGAAAGTAAAAGAAAATCCCACATTTTGGGTTGTCCCCAGAATGGGAAGAGGGGAAATCTTCCAATGGGGAGTTGTGGCGATTCTCCTACTTTGGAGGGATTTCCTCTCACTTCCTGTTTTGGCAATGGGACAGGAAGTGAAGGGAAGTTGCCACAATGGGACACAAATGGCAAAAAAACTGACAGGGGGTCTAATCCTCTCTTACTCTGACCAGAAATCAAAATAAAAGTTTTGCCTTTGGTGACAACCATCGCTCATCGCCCCTGGCCAGCTGTACATCTGAATACTCCCATTCAGATGAAGGGCTCAGCACAGGGCGATGGTGGATTTGGTATCTACAACTCATGAAGTGAACCTGTCAGGACAGGAATATGACCAACTCTTAAAGGGACAGGTGAATGCCCTGGTTTTATTTTTCACATCACTAACCAGACTGGAGCCTGCGCCTTTAAAACCCAAAGCAGTAATGGCGGCCCCCAGATCTATCCTGACAGAACTATTATAACTGCGGAGGGTGACAACACTCAGCGACACCTCCTCAGTTTAAAGTTGTCACAGCTGTACTGAAGACGCTGCCTGAAGGAGGACTGGCCGCTCCGGGATACACAGAGCTTAGGAACGTCTGGCAGACGGCGCATTGTGTTTATTACATAACATTATACCCGGTCCCAGACCCCACTCCTCGCACAATTCCCGGCTGCGCGTGCGCAGAGCTGTGTGCTCGGAGGACTTTGTGCCCGCGCTGTGGCGGCCGGAGTGGGGTGCGCGCTGTGGAAGATGGCGCTGAGAGTGCTGAGCGGGCTGAGGAGTGTGAGCTGTGCCGCCAGGCTCGTCCCCTGGACGGGATGTCCCGCTAGAGAGCTGAGCTACGCCGCACGACTGCTGGCCGGTAAGTGGCCCTCCGAGACCCGTCCTGTCCTGGTAGTGTGTGTAAAGTCACGTGTCCGACCAGAGGCAGGCGGGAGAGGAGCGCCGTGCAGGAGGACTCACTGAGGGCACACAGATCCTTCACTACATACACAGCTCCTTCACCTCACACACCTGCTTCACTACATACACAGCTCCTTCAGTACATTGCACAGCTCCTTCACCTCACAGACCTCCTTCACTACATTGCACAGCTCCTTCACCTCACACACAGCTCCTTCACTACATTGCACAGCTCCTTCACCTCACACAGCTCCTTCACACCTGCTTCAGTATATTGCAGGGCAACTTCACTACATTGCCCGACTCCTTCACCTGACACAGCTCCTTCACTACATTGCCCGACTCCTTCACCTGACACAGCTCCTTCACTACATTGCCCGCTCCATCACCTCACGCACCTCCTTCACTACATTGCCCGGCTCCATCACCTCACACACCTCCTTCACTACATTGCCCGCTCCATCACCTCACACACCTCCTTCACTACATTGCCCGGCTCCATCACCTCACACACCTCCTTCACTACATTGCACGACTCCTTCACCTCACACAGCTCCTTCACTACATTGCCCGACTCCTTCACCTGACACAGCTCCTTCACTACATTGCCCGGCTCCATCACCTCACACACCTCCTTCACTACATTGCCCGGCTCCATCACCTCACACACCTCCTTCACTACATTGCCCGGCTCCATCACCTCACACACCCTCCTTCACTACATTGCACGGCTCCTTCACCTCACACAGCTCCTTCACCACATTGCCCGGCTCCTTCACTCTGTACCCCCCAGAGAACTGCAGAACTATCACAATACACTGATCAGCCATAACTGTGAATAACATTTGTTATCTCGTTACCATGACATCTGGAAGTGGGCGGGATATATTTGGCAGCAAGTAAACATGTTGTCCCTGAAGTTGATGTGTTGAAAGCAGAACAAATGGATATTGCAGTTTGTTGTGTATGGGGCTGGGTAGCCGGAGACTGGTCAGGGTGCCCATGCTGATCCGTGTCCAAAAGTGCCTGCAATGGACAAGTCCGAGTTGGTGACCAAGTACACCCGTTCATGGAGAAGGTATTCCCGGACGGCAGTGGCCTCTTTCAGGAGCACAACAATGAGATTAAGGTGTTGACTTGGCCTCACAGTGGGCCACCCTAAGAACGTGATTGAATGGGCTCCAAGACGGAGGCTGAGGTTTATCACTGTATATTACATATCTTATTACCAGCCAGGATTGTCACCCTAGTGCTGCACAACACAGAAGTGATCACCACTGAGCCATTAATATAACCTCTTACCTGCTGCCCTATAACAGAAATACTGCTACAAGGCGGCATAACTGCGCAACATCACGTATAATACATGTATGTGATTTTTCATTTCCAGATAGGGGGCACGCGCCCTTCCTGCTTCGCCATTGGTGGCTTCAGCTGTCGATCACCATGTCCCAGCCGGTGATTCCCCACCGGCACTCGGTGACCGCCGAGTATCACTGATGGGGGAGAGGTCTGTATGTAAACAATACAGATCTCTCCCCTGTCATCTGCACACTGCTTTGTATTACTCTGCATAGTATACAAAAAAAATTCCAATGTATATACCGCCATTTGTAGACGCTATAATGTTCACGTAAACCAATTAATTTCCACGTATTGGTTTTTTTAGCAAAGATATGTCGCAGCATACATTGTGGCTTAAATTTATGACGAAATTTGATTTTTTTTTTTTTTTTTTTTTTTTTAATTTTTACTGGACATATTTAATAGCAAAAAGTCAAAAACATTGTTTTTTTTCCTCAAAATTATCGGTCTTTTTTTTTTTTTTTTTTTTTGCTTATAGTGCAAAAAATTAGAGGAGGTCAAATACCACCGAAAGAAATCTCTATTTTTGGGGAAAAATTTAATGTGGGTGCAGCGTTGCATGAACGTGCAATTGTCAGTTAACCACTTGCCGTCCACAGATAGCCGAATGACAGCTACACTGCAGCCAGCCAGTTCTGGGGGGGTGTCATATGACGTCCTCCCAGAACATGCTCTCCTGCGCTCCCCCGGGGGCGCACACCCGGCAATCTCCGTGATCGCTGTGTCCTACGGACACAGCTGATCACGTGATGTGGTAAAAGGCCAATCACAGCGGCCTTTTACCACGTGATCAGCCATGTCCAATGACACACTGATCACCAGGAAATGCAATTGCCGGTTCTCAGCTGCACTTTTCTCATGCTGTCAGAGCACAATGAAAGTGCTGCCGAGAACCGGCAGTTGTCAGAACAGGGATCGGCACTGATGATTGGTGCCCAGCAGTGCCACCCATCAGTTCCACCCACCAGTGCCCAGCAGTGCCACCCACCAGTGCCCAGCAGTGCAGCCCAGCAGTGCTGCCAGTCAGTGCCGCCAGTCAGTGCCCAGCAGTAGCGCCAGTCAGTGCCTAGCAGTGATGCCAGTCAGTGCCACCTATCAGTGCTGTCTATCAGTGCCGCGTATCCGTGACACCTCATTAGTGCTGCCTATCAGTGCCGCCTCATCAACGCACATCAGTGAAGGAGAAAAATTACCTGTTTGAAAAATGTTATAATAGAAGCAAAGAAACTTTTTTTTTTTTTTTCAAATTCTTTGCACTTTGATAAAAATTTCATATGGGTACAATCTTGCATGAACGCGCAATTGTCAATCAAAGTGCGACAGCGCTGAAAGCTGAAAATTGGCCTGGTAAAGAAGGGGGTATAAGTGCCCGGTAGGCAAGTGGTTAAAGTAACGCAGCGCCGTATCGCAAAACATGGCGTGGTCAGGAAGGCAAGTGGTTATTGCAGCTTTTATTGTTCATAACAGTTGCTTCATAATAAAATAAGTTGAGAATTCCTTGTATGTGACCAATAATCCTTTGCAGTGATGTCCCGTGTACAGTTGCAAGAAAAAGTATGTGAACCCCTTGGGATTACATGGAGTTTTGCATGAATTGGGCATAAAATGTGCTCTGAACGTCATCTAAGTCACAATAATAGAAGAACACAGTCTGCTGAACATAATACTACACAAACATTAGCTGTTGCCATGGTTTAATTGCACATAACATGTAAACATTCACAGTGCAGGGAGGAAAAAGTATGTGAGGCCCTAGCTTAATGACTTCTCCCTGAGCTAATTGGAGCCAGGAGTGAGCCAACCTTGACTCCAATCAGTGTGATGATATTGGATGTGTTGCTGACAGCTGTCCTGCCCTTAAAAAAACACACACCTGTTTTTGGGTTTACTGGTTTCAAGAAGCACTGTCTGATGTGAACCATGCCTCGCAGAAAAGAGCTCTCAGAAGACCTACGATCAAGAATTGTTGACTTGCATGAAGCTGGAAAGGGTTACAAAAGTATCTCCAAAAGCCTTGATGTTCTTGTGTCCACGGTAAGACAGACTGTCTACAAATGGAGAAAGTTTAGCACTGTTGCTACTCTCCCTAGGCGCGGTCGTCCTGTAAAAATGACTGCAAGAGCACAGCGCAGAATGCTGCATGGGGTAAAGAAGAATCCCAGAGTGTCAGCTAAAGACCTACAGAAATCTCTGGCACATGCTAACATTTTTGTTGCCACATCTACAATAAGGAAAACATTAAACAAGAATGAAGTACATGAGAGGACACCACGGAGGAAGCCATTGCTGTCCAAAAAGAATATTGCAGCACGTTTGAAGTTAGCAGAAGAGCACCTGGATGTTCCACAGCACTACTGGCAAAATATACTGTGGACAGATGAAACCAAGATTGAGTTTTTTGGGAGGAACACACAACACTATGTGTGGAGAAAAAAAGGCCCAGCACACCAACATCAAAACCTCATCCCCACTGTAAAACATGGCGGAGGGAGCATCATGGTTTGGGGCTGCCTCAGGGCCTGGACGGATTGTTGTCATTGATGGGAAAATGAATTGCAGAGTTTATCAAGACATTTTGCAGGAAGACGTACGACCATCTGTCCGCCAACTGAAGATCCGCAGAGGATGGGTGATGCAACAGGACAATGACCCAAAGCATACAAGTAATTCAACAAAACAATGGCTGCAACAGCACAGAATACGCCTTCTGGAGTGGCCCAGTCAGAGTCCTGACCTCAACCCGATTGAAATGCTGTGGCATGACCTTTAAGAGAGCGATTCACACCAGACATCCCAAGAATATTGCTACACTGAAACAGTTTTGTGAAGAGGAGTGGTCCAAAATGACTCCAGATCGTTGTGCAGGTCTGATCTGCTCTGCTCTGATCTATTCAGTCCAAAGGTTCACATACTTTTTCCTCCCTGCACTGTGAATGTTTACATGTTATGTGCAATTAAACCATGGCAACATCTAATGTTTGTGTAGTGTTATGTTCAGCAGACTGTGTTCTTCTATTGTTGTGACTTAGATGACGTTCAGAGCACATTTTATGCCCAATTCATGCAAAACTCCACGTAATCCCAAGGGGTTCACATACTTTTTCTTGCAACTGTATGTGACCACTTATCCTTTGCAGTGACGTCCCGTGTATGTGACACAATTGTTCTGCTGGGGGCATTCCACGACTGAGGAGGAAAGGAGATAATGTTGTTCTAAGTGTCCAATCAGACTCCAGCTGTCGGACACATTCTCACTTTCCTTCCTCTGCTCTGGTAGAATACACCTGTCTGTTTCACACTGCTCTTTCACTGATGGTCATGCTGCTGTATATTACATGCACACTCACCAAAAGCATTCTCCTGCAATAGTTCCCATATCAGTGCCTGAAGACTTCAGACAGTGTGTTGGGCGTATCTGTGAACGTGTATTGCAAGTCTCTGGGTACAGAGACACCAAAGGAATCTAACTTTAGGTTATCATTGCACAGACATGAGAAACCTTCCAGTAAACATAAGAGTGCAAACCTTGTTTTTATTGATTTCATCTTCGCAGTCCAGCTTGAAACCTTTTATTTTGTATTTGAAATTCTGAAT